TATATATATATATATATATATATATATATATATATATATATATATATATAAATTTATGAGATCTTAATTTCTGTATATGTCTTTGTGATATTCTTGTGCTGCATATGTCAATTTTATATGTATTAATGTAATCTAAAATTATATTGTATACAGGATAGTAATATATAGAAGATTCCGTTGTTTGTTGCTTCTGATAAAACTTACTAATTGTATATTTTTAATATTTAGAAATGATAATTAAAATTATTAGTATAAAGAGGATAATATATCGTTAAATTATATTTTTTATTTCATTATGATATATCATAATTATCATTATGCACACTTATGACTACATGATTATATTGTTGTTTTACACCTAAGTATATCTTTTACCTAAGTAAAATCATAAAAGGACAAATTATTTTGTATATTTATCATATATAAAACATTGACTATATGTAGACAGTAACTTTTATCCATTTAGTAACAACCATAGGTCAATTTTTATATATTTTTTAGGTCTAAAAACATATTCCAATTAAATGCAAGAGTTCACTAAGTATGTTTGTTATTAAGCCTGATTAATATTACCATGTAATATAAGACTTATTATTTCTTTGTAGCTGTTAGTGATGCAATACGTACAAGTCTTGGACCTAGAGGAATGGATAAAATGGTATATTTTATTTTTATTATTAATATCTATCTATTAATATAAACCTATTAATACCTATATAATACAAACCTATTTAACAAAATTATTACAATAACTATTAATAGATAACTTGATATATCAATAATAGATTCAATCTGGTAATGGGGAAGTCACTATCACAAATGATGGTGCAACTATTCTAAAAGAAATGAATGTGGTGCATCCTGCTGCAAAAATGGTAAATGATACATTTTTTATTTTTTACACCTTATTAAATTTTATATTTAATTTATATTATCTCATGTTTATATAGCTCGTTGAGTTATCCAAGGCACAGGATGTAGAGGCTGGTGATGGTACAACAAGTGTCGTTGTGATAGCTGGCGCACTTTTGGAACAAGTTGAACGTTTGTTACAAAAAGGAATTCACCCTACTTTGATTAGCGATGCATTTCGCAAAGCAGATGTCAAAGCAGTTTCAATCCTAAAACTTATGTCAATACCTGTTGATTTAACAGACAAAGAATCTCTGGTAAAAGTTGCAGCTACATCACTTAACTCTAAGGTATGCATTGACTACTATATATAGGGTATCAATATATGTAAATATTGAGCTATTAACATTATAAGTATTAACCAGTGTGTCTGATAATTTGCTACAGAGCTATAATGTACAATTACGTTAATTACGTGAACTACAAGTTTTCTACTATTTTGTAAACCACGTAAAATGTTTAGTTATCAACTAGAAAAAACTAATCAGTAACTGTGCGATATGCGATACATGAGCTATGATGGTGACATTTATTATCATGTGTTCGCGGATTAGATAAAAACTGAACAAAGAAAATCTATTACTACTTTATAACACGTAGATTTTTAAATTATTAATTAAAGAAGTGGAAAATTATACAAAATCGTTCGAAAATTCGCTACCGAAGTCGCGTACATGTGATAGGTAGATTAGATTAAACTGAACAAAAATCTCTACTATTTTGTGAACAACTATGTACAATTTTAAGTTATTAATTGGACAAGATTGTTGAATGATTATGCTATGTAGTACATGAGTTATAATGATCACCCTTGCTGTCATGTGCTTGTAGATTTGGCCAATATATATGTACAGGGTGTCTCACACTCTCCTTCGGGCATTTTGTGGGAACGTAGAACAGGTTACAATGAACATAAAAGTCCTATACCGTTTTGCGATATTCGCAATAATTATCGAGATATTGTAGAAAATTTGTGAATGATCATGCAGAATATGGTAAATGAGTTATAGTAGCAACCGACTGCCGTCGTATACTTATACTTTAGATCAAATTGAACAATAAAGTCCTCTACCATTTTGCAAATAATCACATAGATTTTTAATTATTAATTAAAGAAGATGAGTGCATTATCACGCAAAATCGTGCAATAATCTTCTTTAATTAATAATTAAAAATCTATGTGATTATTTGCAAAATGGTAGAGGACTTTATTGTTCAATTTGAACTAAAGTATAAGTACACGACGGCAGTCGTTGCTATTATAACTCATTTACCATATTCTGCATGATCATTCACAAATTTTCTACAATTAATATCTCGATAATTATTGCGAATATCGCAAAACGGTATAGGACTTTTATGTTCACCGCAACCTGTTCTACGTTCCCACAAAATTCCCAGAGGAGAGGACACTGTATATATATACAGGGTGTCCCGCGTAAGACGTGCCAAAAGAAAAATATAAGTAGAGCAGATAAAAGTGAATAAAAATTGTAGAGGTCATTTTTCAAACAATCACGTAAAATTTCGAGATATTAGTTAAAATGGTTGGACATATCAGAGCGCGGCAACGCGGTAGGCGGGACATTCGGCTCGCCGCGGCCGGCGAAAAAATAGACGATTGTTCACGGACCTATCTTATAGGCCAGAGAGGTAGGCCGTTTGGCATATGGAAATTGATAGCTCCGTGTATGTGTCCGTGTACGTGTGCGCTCGTCCATGTTCTTCGCCGGTTGCGGCGTGCCGTATGTTCCGCCTACCGCGTCTCCGCGCTCTGACATGCTCAACTATTTTAATTAATATCTCGAAATTTTACGTGATTGTTTGAAAAATGACCTCTACAATTTTTATTCACTTTTATCTGCTCTACTTATATTTTTCTTTTGGCACGTCTTACGCGGGACACCCTGTATATAATATTTTTTCCTTACATATTTTTTATAAATTATTTCATTATTGAATTTACACAAAATACTCAACATTTATATAATATTATCACAGGTTGTACATCAACAATCTAGTCTCCTTGCACCACTTGCTGTAGATGCAGTATTAAAAGTTACCGAGGAAGGAAAGGAAAGCTCGGTTGATTTACATGTAAGGAGACATTTTTTAAATAAATATTTCGCTAATATATGTGCCTAATATAAATTAATTTTGTTATTAACAATAAATTCATATCCTTGTAGGATATTAAAGTAATAAAAAAGATAGGAGGTACTGTTGAGGACACCGAATTAGTAGAAGGATTGATATTTACTCAGAAATCTTGCAACGTCAATGGTCCAAAACGTATTGAGAAAGCTAAGATCGGATTAATACAATTTTGTATTTCGCCGCCCAAGACCGACGTGAGTATCATGAGATATTGATGTACAGGTATATCTATATTTACATCCTCGCGTAGATATATTGATTGTTCAAATTTTTAGATGGATCATAATGTTATTGTGTCGGACTACTCAGCAATGGATCGTGTCTTAAAAGAAGAACGTGCTTATATATTGAACATTGTAAAGCAAATTAAGAAAACTGGTTGCAATGTTCTCCTTGTACAGAAGTCCATTTTGCGCGACGCCGTCAGTGATCTTGCGATACATTTCTTAGACAAAATCAAAGTCATGGTTATTAAAGATATCGAACGCGAAGATATTCCTTTTGTATGCAAAACGCTTGGTTGTAGGCCAATTGCATCGTTAGATCACTTTGTGCCAGAAAACCTTGTTAACGCTGATCTTTGTGAAGAGATTCAAACGGGCAACTCGAAATTTGTTAAGGTACGCATTACATAGAAATTACTATTACAACATCGCATTTCTGTCATTTATTTTTTGATCCAATGCATTAAATTCGACACATAAATTACCTACGTAATTTATATCTTTTTACAGGTCACAGGAATTCAAAACTATGGGAAAACCGTAACGGTTCTTGTACGTGGTAGCAATAAATTAGTCTTGGAAGAAGCAGAGAGATCATTGCATGACGCATTGTGCGTCATTCGGTGCTTAGTGAAGCAGAGAGCGCTCATCGCTGGTGGTGGAGCACCGGAGATTGAATTGGCATTAAAACTGGGAGAGTACGCGGTCACCTTAGGTGGAGTTGATGCATATTGTGTTAAAGCGTTCGCAAATGCTCTTGAAGTTAGTGTCAAATGTGTTATATTTTAACTTTGACTTGATAACAATTTCTGACTAAACGTAGGAAGTGTGTAATAGCTTGAAATAGTTAATAGGACTTAATTTTGAAACTTTGAAATTACAGGTGATTCCATCGACGTTAGCTGAGAACGCAGGCTTAAATCCTATAGCTACAGTAACCGAACTTCGCAATCGACACGCTCAAGGTGAAGTGACAGCGGGTATTAACGTTCGTAAAGGCGCTATTACTAACATACTGGAGGAAAACGTGATCCAACCGTTGCTGGTTTCTACTAGTTCAATAACATTAGCTTCTGAAACCGTGTGCAGTATACTGAAAATTGATGACATCGTCAATACGAATCAATAAGTTCTATAACACAATATAAACTTGATTCCATATTTCTATAATGCAGTAAGTGCGATTGTTTAAAAATGCCTGGGTACTCCGTATGCTTCGACTTTCCGTCGCCATTATAATTACAGTGCTTTTTTATTGCAGATCGATGCACATTTTCATCACGTTTAATTCGTTAGAAAAGCTTATTCATTAATAATTAAAAATTGTGCTGTATGAATATTTTACTTGATGTAACATTTTTGAACACAAAATGGAAATAAAGTGTAAACTTATTTATTAGTTTGTATTTATTTACCTACAAAATAGATTGTATACATTAAATCATATCATATTCGTGAAATTTAGCCTTAAAAGAAAATTTGTTTCAACTATTTAATTCTAGCTATTATAAGGAAAACTAGTAAACTTGAAAAATTTTATGAATTTTTATAGCAATCTAAGAAAGTGCATGACACATATATATAATATTTTTAACAGTTTAATCAAAATATATAATCTTATACAATAATTTTAGGCAAGTATATAACTATATATTAAGTACATCTTTTTGTAAATAAAATATATATTTACTCCTATTTGTGAATATTGCATTTATTTTTTAATTCAGCTGCACAGTTATGTCTACTAATTGCTCAGTAACTCTATATTTGATTGTAATAAAAGTCGTTGTTTATTAAGTACATTTGTAGACAATAAATACACCAGGACTTTAAAATGTTATATGTTGTGACACGTCAGTCTTGTCACTTACAGATCATCTGTACTTTTTCGTACGATGAAATTGCAGTTTTTTTATCCAGTAAATATAAACAGTATTTTTTTAAAGCGAGATCAGAAACTGAGTCTTAAATAGTGAAAGTTCTAGTGTAATTGTAAAAATATAAAGAATTATTTATAATTCTAACTGAAACATAAAATTTTATATATACCAATAATGTCAATAAAACAAAAAATTGTTTTATTTTTTATCAAAAAGAGTGGAATGTTCGTCATATAAGAAAAGTAATATACTATATTATTTATGCTGATGTTTTTTAATAATATTCAATAATCATTTTATAACTTGTAAGATAAATACTATATTCAGTTGTTGATCAAAGATATATAATTTTTATGCTGTTTCCATCTCCATCAACCATAATGGAAAATTCGACTAAGTACTTAATTTTTTTGAAATGTATATATCTTATTTACAAATTTGTAAGCGCTTGTAATAATCTCGCATAAAATTCGCTCTATTTTACAATTTTAAGTTACAATTTACTCGAAAATACATATGTAGGTATATATTCTCTAAGCCATATAGATTTATGTTACATTATAATTTCAAATCTTACTTCTCCAATAAAGTAAAATTATATTACATATTGCAATATGTATTTTTTCGAAATCAAGCAATATATATATCGCGCCATTCGCGCGATACATGAAAAATATATATTTTTTAAACACATTTTTAGTAAAATTAAAGTTTATAATGCGACTAATCATAGAAATCTTATAGGAAGAAATATTGGCAGTAGCAATGAACATATTTTCCGAAATATTTCTTTTATACACATACGTGTGTGTGTGTGTGTGTGTGTGTGTGCAGTTGGCAGCCCAATCAACCAACTAGTGAATGAGTTTATGGAGAGTGAGGAAACAGCATTCTCCTCTCGTGAAACGATTCATTGCTGGTTAGTGTACACATATGCAAATATACATATTTTTATATGCACACACACACACACACACACACACACACACACACACACACACACACACACACACACACACACACACACACACACACAC